GTAAATTTCTTCTGCACTCTTTCCAGTTTAATAATATCCTTCCTATAGCAAGGTGACCAAAACTGAACACAATGCTGCAAGTGCGTCCTCACCAATGTCATATAAAATTGCATCGTAACTTCCCAACTCCTATACTCAATGCCCTGACTGATGAAGGCCAGTGAGCGAAAAGCCCCCTTCACTGCTCTGTCTGCCTGTGACTCCATTTTCAGAGAACCACGCACCGGAACTCCAAGGTCCCTCTGTTCCACTACACTCCTCAAGGTCCTACTATTCATCATGGAACTCCTCCCTTGATTTGACTTTCCAAAATGTAACACTTATCTATATTAAACTGCATTTGCCATTTCATGGCCCACTTCCCCAGATGATCAAGATCCTACTGCAACTTCTGATAACCTTCCACACTGCCCATAATACTGCCTACTTTAGTGTCATCCACAAACTTACTAATCACACCTTGTACATTCTCATCCAAATCACTGAATTAGATAACAAACAGCAACGGGCACAGCACCAATCCGACAAGCATCCTTTCACTCTTACTCTCTGCTTCCTCCCACCAAGCCAATCGTATATGCAGTTGTATATCCAATTTGCCAGCTCTCCCTGGATTCCATGCAATCTAACCTTCTAGAGCAGTCTACCATGTGGAACCTTATCAAAGGCCTTACTGAAATTCATATAGACTACATCTACCGGTCTGTTCTCAACCTTCCTGGTTACTTCAAAGAACTGTAACAAACTTGTGAGGCATGATCTCCCACACATGAAGCCATGCTGACTACTCCTAAGCAACCCCCGTTTTTCCCAATGCACGTAGATCTTATCCTTCAAAATCTTCTCAAATAACCTACCTACTAAAAATGTTAGGTTTACTGGTCTATAATTCCCAGGTTTTTCTTTGCACCCCTTCTTCAGTAAGGGTACAACATTCACTACCCTCCAGCCTTCCAGGACCTCACCCACAGATAACGATGATGCAAAAATATCAGCCAGGGACCCGCAAATTTCTCCTCTAGCCTCTTGCAGGGTTCTTGGATATATCTGATCTAGACCAGGAGATTTATCTACCTTCATACAATGTAATACTTCCAACTCCTCCTGTACTGTGATTTCGATTGTCCCCAAGATATTGCCACTAACTTCCCCAAGACATCTTGTCTTTCTCCACGGTAAACACAGTAGAAATATTCATCGAGGACCTTGCCCATCTCTTGCAGTTCTACATGTATATGTCCACTTTGGTCCTTGAGGGGTCCTATTTTCTTTCTAGTTACTCTTTTTCCTTTAATATACTTAAAACATCTCTTTGGAATTACCCTAATCTTCTCAGCCAAAGCTGTCTCGTGCCCCTTTTTCACCCTCCCAATTTCCTTCTTCAGTAAACTCCTGTATCCCCTATATACTTCTAGGGATTCCCTTGATCCCAGCCACCTCTACCTGAGCCATGCTTCCTCCTTTTTTCTGGTCAAAGCCTCAATATCTCTTGTCATACAGGGGTTCCCTACTCTTGCCAACCTTGCCCTTCACCCTCACAGGAACACAAAGACCTTGAACTCTAGCTACCACACTTTAAGGTCTCCTACTTGCTGGAGATCCCTTTGCCAGGAAAGAAACTTAGCCCATCAACCGCTGCAAGCTCCTGTCTAATACCATCAATTTTCGCCTTGCCCCAGTTTAGAACTTGAACCTTTGGACCAGTTTTGTCTTTTTCCATAACTATTTTAAAATTAATAGTACTATGGTCACTGGTCCCAAAGTGCTCTCCCACTGTCACCTCAGTCACCTGTTCTGCCTTATTTCCCAAGAGTAGGTCGCGTTTTACCCTTTCCCGAGTAGGACCCTCTATATACTGCTTGAGGAATCTTTCCTGAACACATCTAACAAATTCCACCCCACCTAAGCCCTTAACACTATGGCAGTCCCAGTCTATGTTAGAAAAATTGAAATACTCTACTATGACAGCCCTATTGCTCCTACAAGTCTGCCCAGTCTCCCTGCATACCTGTTCCTCTAATTCCTGTCGACTATTTGGGGGCCTATAGTACAACCCCAATAATGTCACCATCCAATTATTTCTTAGCTCCACCCACAAAGCCTCAGTGGATAAGCCCTCAGTTATTTCATCTCTGACTACTGCTGTGATACTCCCTTTAATCAAAAAATACAACTCCCCCGCCCCTCTCTCCTCCACCTCTGTCCCGCCTAAAGCGCCAGTACCCCGGCACATTAAGCTGCCAGTTCTGTCCCTCCCTTAGCCATGTTTCCCTAATGACTATAACACCAGAGTCTCCGTAACTATCCACACCGTGAATTCAATGACCTTACCTGTCAGCCCTCTCGCATTGAAATACAGGCAATTTAATCCATCAGGCATTCTTCGCTCTCTACTGTGTTCCAGCCTGACTGGTCTCTTCAACTTGCTATTTCTGATTACTGTATCTCCTTCTAGCCTCACACTTACCTCCCTGCACTTGAGGATCCCATCCCCCCACTACCCTTGTAGCATTAGAAAAAATCAGCCCGCCAGGATATTGGTCCTCTTCCAGTTCAGTTGCAACCTGTCCATCTTGAACAGGTCACCTCTGCCCCAGAAAAGATCCCAATGATCCGGGAATCTGAATCCCCTGCCACCTGCACCAATTCTTTAGCCACGCATTCATCTGCCATATCTTCTTGTTCTTACCGTCACTAGCACATGTCACTGGAAGTAATCAGAGGTAAACGCCATCGAGGTCCTAGTTTTAAAACTTTTTCCTAGCAATCTATTGTCACTCCGCAGGACCTCATCCCTATTTCTACCTATGTCATTTGTGCCAACATGCAAATGACTTCTGGCTGCTCACCCTCCCCCTTGATTACATTCTGGAACTGTTCCGAGACATCTTCGACCTTGGCACCTGGGAAGCAACACACCATCCTGGATTCCCGTCTGCGGCCACAGAATCCTGTCCGTCCCTTTAAATATCAAGTCTCCTATCACTAAGGTCCTTTACCTTTCGCTCTGGGGCACAGCGAGAAATGGCAGTCGTAGTGCCACCAACCTGGCTCCTGTGGCTTTCCCCTGAACGATCATTCCCTCCCCAGCAGTATCTAAAATGGTATACTTGTTTGAGGGGAACGGCCACAGGGGATTCCAGCACTCTCTGCCTACTACCTTTGCCTTTCATGGTGGCCTACACTCTGCCTGCACCTTAGGTGTGATCACCTCACTAAAACTGTTATCTATGATGCACTCAACATCTTGAATGATCCCGAGTCCATCCAGCTCCCTAACACAGTCTCCCAGGAGCTGCAGCTGGGTGCACTTCCCACAGGTGCAGTCATCAGTGACGACTGAAGTCTCCCTGAGCCCCCACGTTCTGCAGGAGGTGCATGCCACTGCCCTAACTACCATCTTACTGCGGTCTTACTGAAGTCAGCCAGTTGTTTATCTGAACAGGAACACTGACAGCAATGGTCAGTGGTCTGACAATCTCAAAAACAACTCATCCTCATCACTCCCCACTTCTGACCCTTTTGATGAAGTGATGTTCATTGATGATTGCACAATATTCAGCACTATTTGTGACTCCTCAGGTATTAAAACAATCCATGTCCAAATTTAGCAAGACCTGCATGATATCCAGGCTTGGGCTGACAAGTGGCAAGTCACATTTGTGTCACACAAGTGTGAGGAAATGACCATTTCCAACGAGAAAGAATCTAAACATCACCTCCAACATTCAATGGCATTACCATCACTGAATCCCGCACTAGCATCCTGTGGGTTATCAGAAACTCAACTGGACCAGCCATATAAATACAGTGACTACAACTGCAGGTCAGAGGCTAGCAATACTGTAGTGAGTAACTCACCTCCCAACTCCCCACAGCCTGTCCATCCACAAGATACAAGTCAGGAGTGTGATGGAATACCACTTGCCTGGTTGGGTGCAGTTCCAACAACATTCAAAGCTTCACACCATCCACGGCAAAGCAGCCCACTTGACTGGTACCGCGTCCACAATCATTCACTCCTTCCAACACCGATGCTCAGTAGCAGCAGTGTATACCATTGACAAGACACATTACGCATTCACCAAAACCTCCTAGGGCAACATGGAATACAGGGACAGAAAAGGTTTAGAAGGATATGGGCAAAGTGCAGGGAAATGGGGTTAGTGTGGATGGATATTTTGGTTGGAATGGATCTGTTTGGGCCAAAGGACTCAACAAAAAATATCTTCCAAAGCATGATCACTATCATCTAGAAAGACAAGGGCAGCAGATACGGGAGAACACCACCACCTGCAAGTTCCCCTCCAAGCCATTCACCATTCTGACCCAGAAATATATCACTGTTCCTTCAGTATCACTGGATCAAAATACTGGAACACCTTGCCCGACAGCATTATGGGTCTACCTAGAGGAAATGGACTACAACTGTTCAAGAAACTCTCCACCACCTTAAGGGCAACTAGGGATGGGCAATAAATGCTGGCACAGCCAACAATGCCCACATCCCATGAATGAATGAAACAAAAAACAATCTGCTCTTATGATGCTGCTTGGCCTGCTGTGTTCATCCAGCTCTACACCTTGTTGTCTCGGATTCTCCAGCATCTGCAGTTCTTACTATCTCTAACACAAAACATGCCTGCTGAGCAAACCAATAAGGAAAGGTGAGAAAGGCCATTTAGGTCATCAAACTTCACCTCCCTAACATGTGACGGCTCCATTTGGAGTTATCTTCATTGCATCTTTATTCTCTACTTTAAAAGGAGCAACAGCAAGCTCCCTCTTCTAGTCCAGCTTTCCCCCACAACCAACAATCTTCGCCCCAGAAACACAGCCAGAGATAACTGTATTATGGACATGAATAGAAGAATAAGTTTCACAGTAAAATCCTGAAATATTTTGCACTGCCTAAAATACATAGATCATTAAGTACTATTAGATAGACAAACACCATTTTCTTAGGTCATCTTTAATTTGAAACCAGAAAGAATACTTACCGCGGCAGAATTTCTTTGGGCAAGTCTAAAATGGCTCCATATAAAAAGTTCATCATGATTTCCACCTCCACGTGGCTCACACTAATTAAAATAGAATATATTTAATAAATCACATTGAAAACACTGCAAAGACAATTCAAAGAACCACAATTAGCAAGAAACTCCTTTACAATGTCTCCAAAGGAAACAGTTGCAGGTAGACAACTTATTCTTGAATTCTACCTAATGCTCCACTTCAATTGGCCTTTGGCATGTTCAGGAATGGCTCAAAGCCTTGCTTCACTAACCATAAGTTCATTGCACTGCCCTAATGACGATCGAGATTCGAACCTCACATTGCTGGAAGACATTACCCAATACCCGATGCCACGGTGGTTAGCACTGCTGCCTCAAAGCACAAGAGACCTGGGTTCAATTCCGCCTTGGCAGGGGGCATAGGATCCTAAAAAGCAGGGAGGCAAGCACGAGGCTAGCAGGAGATCCAGTAATCAGAAATATCAAGTTGAAATGACCGGTCAGGCTGCAACATGACAGGTAGCGAGGAAT